TTCCAGCTCCTGGAATGTCCCCCATCCCCCACCAATGTTTCTGATGGACCCGGCAACTCTAGCTCCACCCCCAAATATCTCCAGGTATTTCCCAACCTAGAGCTGGTAACCCTAGTAGCTTTGGTGGTGAGGGAGCCAGCTGCACAGCTGATAGCTGGTATCTGTTCGGTGGCACAGGCAAGCAGCCACCAAACTGAGAGATAACTTTTGCTCCTCCCTCCTCCTTTGGAGGGTTGGAGGGGCAGAGTCCTTTTCAGGGCTGTTTTTGCTTCCCAGTCTGCCTCTGCCTACCGCCAACACCAGTACTCAGTAAGCAACCTCACTGGCATACTTCTTAAGCGAAATAAACTTAATATAGTAGGTCTATCCTTTGCCCAGTGGTCCCATACGCTCCTTGAAAGCCACTCCTGAAGACTGGTGTATGAACACTTGCAGCTGAAGTGTTATTTGAGAAAGGTCCAGTGTGTGTGTTTACCTTAGGTGTGCATATAGAAGTATTTTAGGATAAAAAAATCCTGTACTCTTTTGCAACTAGTCTTTTTTCATTTTCACAGTTATGGCATTGAGTACCTGTCTTAAACTAGAGATCTTTCAGTTCAAGCAAAATTCAGCCTGTGAAAATTTTCTAAGATCAAGCAAGCCTGTTTATTTGAAAGCTTGCGATTTTTCTAAGTTAAAGATTTTTCTGCAAACCAGGAGGTATCTCCAGGTTTGCAGAGCCAACTACCCTAGCCCTGGGTGGTCCATGTTGTGCAGATTTTATGATCTGCAAAGTGGAACCACCCAAGGCTATTAGGCATATGATACTTTCTCTCACCTCCTGCCCTGATGTTGATATTGGTGTTTTGTTTTCTATTGCTGCTTTTTTTTGTTCTCTTCTGCTTCGTAAAGTTTTAAAGACTGCTCTAAAATGTTATTTATATTCTGATAGCTAATATCAGTTTTGATCAACATAGGTCCCGTTCACACGAGGCGATTTGGCCCGGGAGCGGGACAGTTCGGGGGCGGGTCAAACCGGCGCGATCACACCACAACATCTGTAAAGCGCCGTGATTCCGTCCCTGAACTGGCCCTTTCCCGGGAAACTGCACCTCAAACAAGTAGACGCAGCGCTTCTAACCGAGCGTTTGATCGCCGGCGCGTCCTTGCGCCGGCACAACCCCGGGCCGGAGCCGAACTGCGCATGCTCCGACATGCGCAGTTCGGCCGGCTCCCAGTTAGGGCCGTGTTTTCTCCCCGGTGTTTGATCGCGCCGGGAAGAAAAGGCGGCTCGGCCAGGGGATCCATGGGATCCCGCCGCACCGTGTCAACATTGGCGCGGCTTTTAAAAGCCGCGCCTTAAGAGGCTTTTCCCCTGCCGTGTGGCAGGGGCCAAACTGTTTTTTTTAAATTGTTAGTATGTGATTGTTTTTCCTTTGTATGATCTTGTTTACGTTGGTACACTAAGGGACTTAAAAGGGGGGGAGAAGGTTGACAAATACATAAAAAGTAAGTGGAGGGCACAGCATGGCAAATCCTTGCTGTACGGTACTTACAGAAACTCACCCACACAACATTTCCTCCAAAATTGGTTGGTGTAAATATTTGCACTTTTTCTGACTTTCACTAATATAATTGAGTTTAATTTAATGCAAGTCTTAGTCATCAGGCTATGTAACTGTTTTTTTTTGTGGGGGAGACTGAAGTCTGCATTCCTGTGCAAACGAATATAAGAGTAAATCCTATTGAACACGGTAGGACTTTATTCTAAGTGTGCATACAGTTGAACCACATGTGGCATGCATCCAAAGAACCATGTACCTAATGTAGGGTTACCAACCTCCACTTGGTGGCTGGAGATCTCCTGGGATTACAGCTGATCTCCAGGTGACAGAGATCAGTTCAACTGGAGAAAATGGCTGCTTTGGAAGGTGGACTCTGTGGCATTATACACCACTGAAGTCCCTCCCCTCCCCAAACCCTGCCCTCCTCCCCAAAATCTCCAGGTATTTCCTCACTTGGAGCTGACAGCCCTACTTCAGGCAGTGGCTTTGGAAACAGCCAGATCGTATGCTGTACTGTACAACATCTGCAAAGCATTACGGCCCAGTGCTAACCTTTCTGCACTGACATAAGGATGTGCTTTATCTCCTTGTTCTGACAGTGGGAACTGGGTTTGCCCTTCAGGATTCCCTGCCTACTTAACACAGGATGGCTTTAAGCTGTTGCATCACAATCAGCTAAAGCTGTGGATATGATTGGCTGTAGATGCTGCTGGCATGGTAATAAGTCCCTGTGACATCAATGGAACTTACCCCTGAGCCATTATGTATACAACTGTAAATTAATAGAGGAAACTGTCATCCCGTCTTTTATGTAAATCCAGAAATGTTTTATGTTTTACAGTCTCTTTATCAGAGTTACACCCTTCTAAGTCCATTGAGTGTTACTTAGGCCCCGGTCACATGGGAGGATTTGCCCCGCGAAACGGACGGGTTGAGGGCAGATTAAACCGACGTGATCAGATGCCAACATCTGGCAAGCGTCGCGCACCTGCCCCCAACGCATCGTTCCCGGACGAAAATGCGGATTTAAAAGAGACCTGCAAAAGACTACTATTTACTGGGAAACGCGCAGCATGGGCGGCCGTGTGATCGCCAATGCGCCCGTATCCCGTGGTATGCGAGGCCCTGCCACACTGCGCATGCACACAACTGTGCAGCTGCCTCGCCTCACCCTTAGTCCCATCACTTCCCCCTCGGCATGTGATCGTGCCCGGGAGCAAATGCGGCGCGGCTCAGGGGATCTGTCTGATCCCGATGCTGTGCTTCTATTTGCTGCGGCTTTTCCCGCTAGTGTGACCAGGGCCTAAGGATGGCTTTGTCAAAATATTACAAATACTGCAGCATGGTATCTATGGCCATTATTAGAAATTTAGTTATCTCACAACACAAACTCTATATCATGCTACTAATTACTGCCCAATTTTTCCCCCTGAAGCTACTGGTTCAAAACATGTCAACAGATGCTAATCTTTCGAAACAAAAAGTATAGAGAAATCATAACCTCCTAAATTCTCTTGAACATATTTTTACAATTTGCAGCTGAAGGAAGCAGAGAACTTGTATTAAGGCAGCAGGTTTGTTACACTAAGGCTGTGATCACATGTACCTAGAACCGACATAGGTGCGAATGCCTGACAGATCTAAAGGGAGCGATCAGACAGCAGTCGTCCCGCAGTCGTCAGCAACCCATGCCGCTCTGCCATGGAAGTAGAGTTAAAAGACACTGGGGAAAGTCCAGCTCTAACTGGTTACTATGGGCCACGGACAGATTTTCCCCTGTCTGATCACTCAAGCACACTCTCATCTGGACTCTGGGCCGTTGTCCCCCCCCCCTTCACAGTATGTGCATCATCGCATACTCCATAGGGGGCCCTCAGTGTGGAGGTGCAATTCCTCGTTTATGTGCAAGGGAAACAAATGGCAAAAAAAAGACCCACAGTTGCATCTGATCACACAGAAACAGGCTAAGCGCGCAGCTCCAAAGGGATGTGTGATCTCGCAACTGCGTGTCAAATTCCTCAGGAGGAAATAGCCTTACTTCCCCTCTGCTCCAACTGGCGTATAACCACAGCCTAATTATAACAAATTAATAGTCTTCTTAGTAGTTTAAAGACCAGTTTAGCTCAGTATCTTGTCTCCAAACAAGGCAGGAAATTTTAGCATACTTCATTTAGAAAATATGGAACTAACTTTAACTTGAGAAACATGCCAAATTAGCAGTGAAGACACAGTTATGTGCTGGTGGAAAGTGCCATCAAGTCACAGCTGACTTATGTTGATGCCATAGGATTTTCAAGGCAAGAGATATTTAGAGGTGGGTTGCCATAGCCTACCTCTGCGTGACTGCCCTGGTATTCCTTGGAGGTCTCCCTCCAAATACTAGCCAGGGCTGAACCTGCTAAGCTTCTGAGATCTGATGAGATCAGGCTAGCCTGGGTTGTGTACTTAGTCATAAATGGGATTTTGAGAGCTACTCTGAGATTTATAGGGTTAGAGCCTAATCATGCCATCCTATGCAGAGTTACGTCATTCTAAGTCTATTGAAGTCAGTGGGTTTAGAAGGCTGTAACTGTGCCAAGGACTGCACTGTTAGTTGCTAAGTATAAATTTACTGAATAAATGTGCATAGACTAGGGTTTTAAATTTTAAAAATTCAAAAGTAAAAAATTTAGTTCCGGAGCAATTTCTTAATAAAATTGTGCCCATGGGTTCTATTGGTACAATACCATCAGAGATAGATTCTATTTTACAAACCACCATGTATTCAAAATCCAGACACTGAATTCTTTAGGACACAACTGAACACGCTGTTAAGCACACTTAAGCCCACTGATTTCAATAGGCTTAAACATGCTTAGCTCTGTATTGGTTGTGGTCTTATGGTATAAGCTGTCTTTCTCTGCATGCTTTGCACAAAGGAGACTGATCTCTGATTTGGGACTCAGTGCTAAATCATTTTTGTAACCTTAAAGTCTCTAACATAGTTTTTGGAATTAAAGTAAATAGTAGATCTTTTAAGGTATACAATGTTTTTGTAAATCTTCTATGTCCAGTTAGAATAATCTCAGCCAGGAGTAACTTCAACCACCATAGTATCAACAGAAGAAGAGTTGAGTTTTTATACCCTGTTTTTCTCTACCCTGAAGAGTCTCAAAGCGGTTTACAACTGCCTTCCCTTCCTCTCCCCACAAAGTCACCTTGTGAAGTAGGTGGGGCTGAGAGAGTTCTGAGAGAACTGTGACTGGCTCAAGGTCATCCAGCAAGCTTCATGTGGAGGAGTGAGGAATCAAACCCAGTTCTCCAGATTAGAGTCTACCTCTCTTAACCACTGCACCATGCTGGCTCTCAGATATGTAAATAATTCAGATATGCAAATATACCTTTTTATTTTCGCAGAATCAACATCTTGGATACCATTTATCTTTTAATTGCTTATAACTTTCTTTCTTTCAACAGAGGAATTCAAGGGCTCAACAATAGTTGAACTAATGAAGAAAGAAGGTACCACTTTGGGACTTACTGTATCTGGCGGAATTGACAAGGATGGGAAACCAAGAGTATCCAACCTTCGCCAAGGAGGCATTGCTGCTAGGTAAACAATCCTCAAGCAGCAGAGCACATATGAGTGTGCTTGCTTCAGAACTATGAACTGCACCAAACGCTCTAGGGATGCCATTTCCCAGGTGGGGGTCCTCCAGTTTTGGGGGCTCCCCCCAGATGCTGGCAAGCTGGCTGGCAGGGGAAGCCCTGCCCCCAACAGTCATCCGCTGCCGTCCTGCAAGCCACAAATTTGTAGTGTGCAGGGCAGGCATGCAGGACACCTGCTGCTTTCAAGTGGGGGCCATGCATGCATGCCCTGCAAGTGGTGAATTCACTGCTTGCAGGGCAAGTGTACATGGCCCCCACGTTCCCCCCATGCATTTAAAGGATGCATGATGTCATCATGTCAGGGACAGCCCCTTCCCTTCCTGGAACATTCCCCGAAAACCCCCACTGGGGAAAAGATGGGATCTGGCAACCCTAAAAAGCTCACTAATAAATAATGAAGCACCAGCACCCATAAGTTAGCAAATAAGAGTAGAAGAGGGACCAAAACATTTCGGGTGTAGGTTCTCCTTTAATTCCTTTATGTGCAGGGCCCTATCATTATTTCTCTAGTACAAACTTATATTACCTCCAACTTACATGCACAGTCCATATATAGAGTCACTTGACTAATTTTATTTCTGAAATGAAGTGCAATTTTTTTAGAAAATGCACAACACTGCGTAACACAACAATGGAGAAATTATTACAATAGTTTACTTCATTATCTTCTAGCAAGTTCATATAAGTGGCAGTGATATAAACAGCATAATCATTTTCCTGAACTGTATTTGAAAATCTTGTTTCACTAAAGCTGTTTGAATAAATAGTTCCTCTCGGCAAAATTCTCTCATTTTTGTCCATGGAACTCTGTAAAGTGTCACATACTCCAATAACACTGTAGAATACCTAATAATAAACATTAAATAGAATTTAGAGTGTTGCATTTAGGAAATTCACTTTCAAATCATTTGTTTTAATTTGCAAACGTTGTAAGCCTTATTTTATATGTTACAAATGAAGTAAAGTTGCTTACTGTTAAGACAAAATACAGTACATCTTCACTGACGAAGATATGTATATTACAGAAGTGACCAATTGGATGTGGGAGATTACATCAAATCTGTGAATGGCATCAATTTAACCAAGTTTCGTCATGATGAGATCATTAGTTTACTCAAGAATGTTGGTGAAAGAGTTGTATTAGAAGTGGAGTATGAGCTGCCACCAATCTGTAAGTAATAAGGTGCACAATGTAATAATCCTATATATAATATGCTTTTTCATTAGTGAGGTTAATGGGGCTATTAAATTATTATTAATTTCTTAAAAATGAAAAAATGCTGATATCAAGTTGTACTTCATTTCATAGCTTAGTGTATGATTGTAATTTGTGTCTCTGGACTTGTGGCTGAACCATATTAACAAATATTAACAAACAAACATTCCCCCCCTTTCTTTGTCAGATCAAAAGATGCATTTTAATGTCTCTGTATAAACTTCACTACCATTATACCTTTGTCATCATTGATCTTTATCAATCACTACTGAAATGTTCTTCATTATAATCGGTGTGTGATATCTGTGGAGAGAAGACCTATATATTTCTAGGCTCTTGGGCTTGGGGAAGGCCAGCTGTTGATGGAAACAGAACAATCCACTGTTACAAATATACAAGTTTTGCCTTCACCTCAACATTTGTTCTGATGTTCATTTTTCTTTAAATGAATGAATGGCAGCCATTTATTGATATGGATGAAAGTAGTCTGTGGGCTTAAATCGGCTAGGGAGGGTAAGAGAACTAAATGAGGAGTAGATTTAAAAATGCAATCTGTTTACTTTGTTCAGTAGAAATCTCTCTTTTCATCTGCCTAGCTGATTTCCATTTCTTGATCTATCTAGTGAAGAGGTCTCTAATCTCACTGGGCACTTTTGGAATCTTGAGAATATTAAGTAGGTGCCATCACATGATAGCTGCCATAGAGGACAGAGTACAGCAAAAATGTCTGTGATGAGGGTTGAGGCCAATCACAAAATGTTGGGAGCAGTGTTAGTGTGAGCTAGCGCACAGTTTTGACCTCTGGCTCACACATTTTTGTCTTAGTGCAGGAAGGATGGCTCCTGAGTAAACTAATTTATGCAGCAGCCAAATTTCTCACTCACAACTTTAATGGCAGTAGCTCACAAAGTAGAGTTTTTGCTCACAAGACTCCACAGCTTAGAGGGAGCATTGGTTGGGAGGTTCCAGGTCAAGCATTCCCCTACAAGGGAGAAATCTGTTCCTGAAGGGGTGCATCCTGCAGATATTTTGAAGACGTTTCTGCTCCTGTGAGGTAGAGAAAAGTCAGGATCAATTATTTGCTTTAGGGAAGATATGCTTTCTAGATGGATGGATGGATGGATGGATGGATGGATGGATGGATGGATGGATGGATGGATGGATGGATGGACACACACACACACATACATATGTGTGAGCAACATGTGCACACACATACAATGAGAATTACTAAATTGATCTCTGTATTCTTCTCTGTAAACCCCATATGAATTGAAAAGTGCTGGCCGGCACACGGTTACAGAAATAAATAGTATTTTAATTGCTGGTAACGATGTGTGGGATTGCTCTGGTCTAAGAATTTAGTGGAACATATTTTGTTTTAGGTGCTGATGATTGAATTAAATTTTGTATGTTTATTAACACTGCTAAATTGCTATGCCCTATTTATGATGTTGTTTGCTGGCTGATGCAAATAATTAAGCTTTGTGATCCAAATTAGGTGGTTTTGATTAACTAAATCAACTGAGCATTCAGAAAATTTAATAGGTAAACATACTCATTTTGAATTGAAAACTCTGTTTACCATGTTATACGTGCATTCAATATATGTGTGATCTTTGTTCACTGAATTGAAAAATTAGTCTGTCATGCCACATTACAGTTACAGTCGTAACTGTTCGTTTAAGTTTTGAGAATTTCTGACCTTGTACAAGTGTTGTTGGTAATGAGCCTGAATGACAGGTGTCTAGCTATTACTGTCAATTCTTGGTGACCAAGTGAACAAACTCAATTCCTTATGACACAACTACTCCTATGTTAGCAATGTCATACCTTTTCTCATCACACACACACACACACACACACACACACACACGGGGGGGGGACTTAAATGCTGTCTAGGGGCTAAAAGGGAGGGCATTTTTCTTAGACCTGGAGAGCCTAGGCTCAAATTCTCATCAGCCATACTGACAGAGTTCTCAGACATAAAATTGAAACAGTAATGGTCTATGTCAGAGGGATATTTTGAGGATGAAGGAAAGAGAAAGTAAACATGATGAAGATATAAAATATGATTTAAAAATGTAATCTGTGCTGCTTCTCAGAACTATTTATTGTATTGTATTAGTGCTGTCTTCAGAGTATGACCTCTAGTACTGTGATTTTGTTGCTTCTGTTCACCCCTTTGTCCTACTGAGAACCCAGGTTTCAGAAAACTTGGCTAGCATATTCTCCTTTTCCACCTCTAAATTTTATTTCCTTAATTTCCATAGAGAAAAAATATAGCTGTTCTGTTAATAGTGTTCTTTTTACTACTTCAGTGTTAATTACAAGAAATAATGACAGCAGAGGAAGTTTGTAACATTCTTCATTTTTATATTTCTCACCTGGGAGTTGCTTTCACTCTTGATTTTACTTCACCCTTGGGGGGGGGGGGGGGGGGGGGGATGCCAGCTACTTACACATTCCACTGATTTTCTGTCAGACCTGAAATTGAAATTCCTTGTTTTGCTTATTGAAAATAATTCCTATTATGCACAAATATCTTGAATCATAAAACTGCATTTTAGTTTCCATTTTAGTCTTCAGGGCTGTTGCAATAGTTACAATATGCCATTGTTCCCATAATCTGGAAGGAAGATCTCACATGCTTCTGTTTCAGATTGAAGCATAATCACAACTTTATTGACTCAGAATATCACCAGCGTGCTTGCCCAGCCTATTTATTTTATGCTACAGAATCTTCTATCTTCTCTGTTATTGGAGGGGATGAACTCTACCCCTACTTCCTCACATTCTCTGGTTTATCTCCTCCTAGCATCAAACTTCAAAACAGTTAATGTGCTTTGCCTTTCACTGCCTAAGTACCCTTAAAAAGGTAAAGGTTCCCTTGCTCGAAAGCCAGTCGAATCCGACTCTAGGGTTGCGGTGCTCATCTCCGTTTCAAAGCTGAAGAGCCAGCGCTGTCCGAAGACGTTTCCGTGGTCATGTGGCCGGCATGACTAAACACCAAGGCGCACGGAACGCTGTTACCTTCCCACCGAAGTGGTCCCTATTTATCTACTTGCAATTTCTTGCTTTCGAACTGCTAGGTTGGCAGAAGCTGGAACTAGAGACGGGAGCTCACTTCGTCATGTGGCACACTCGGGTCTCGAACTGCTGAACTACTCACCTTCCGCAGTCTGCAGTTCAGCATCTTAACCACTTGAGCCACCGCAGCTCCCTTACTAGTATGCTAAGAAGACCTATATATACCAAGCCAAGCAGCCGCAGAACAGGGTTGTCAGCTTCCGGGGGGGGAGGGGGTTGGAGTGCTCCCAGAATTACAGTTTATCTCCAGACTAGAGATCAGTTGCTCTGGAGTACTGCTCACCTCCCTCTCCTCCCCAAAGTCCCAATTCCAGGTTCCACCCCCAAATATCCAGGAATTTCCCACCCTGCAGTCAGCAACAATACCCAGGAATGTGCAAGGCTGATAGGTGCCACAGAAGTGCTACTTTTCTTTAGACAGAAAGAGATAGTGAAACTTCATCATTATTGAGGCAGTTCCTCTGGACTGTCACATTGTAATTTTCCTAAGATTTTTGTTGGGCCTGTTAATTTATTTATCCGGTTAGTTGGATTAAAAATCTGCTGCCGGCTCCTGGTGACACTGGCCCCACCATAGTCACAGAATGGAATTAAGCCAAACAACCAGTTTGGTGTAGTGGTTAAGTGCACGGACTCTAATCTGGGAGAACCGGGTTTGCTTCCCCACTCCTCCACTTGCAGCTGCTGGATGACCTTGGGCAAGCCGTAGTTCTGATAATATCTGTTCTTGAAAAAGAGCAGTTTCTGTCAAGAGCTCTCTCAGCCCCACCTACCTCACAGGGTGTCTGTTGTGGGGAGGGGAAGGGAAAGGAGTTTGTAAGCCGCTCTGAGACACCTTTGGGTAGTGAAGGGCGGGGTATAAATCCAGTCTCTTCTCTTCTTCTTCTTCTTCTTCCAATATTGCACTCAGGTCCAAAAGCAAAATAAAATAACATCACCGTCACCATCATCATCCACTTGGTCCCAGTTTACAGTGTATACTAAGGATCAGTAGATTCAGGTGGGTCTGAATTCATATTGGTCTGAAGCAGCAGAACAAAGTTTGAGTCCAATGACGCCTTTAAGACCAACAAAGTTTTATTCTAGGTATAAGCTTTCATGTGCAGCTACACTTCTTCAGATACAATGAAATGGAAATTACCAGTCATAGAGGGTGAGCAGTAAATTATCATGAAGTACAATGAAGATGTTTAACAGAGTCAAGGATAAAACAGGAATAAGCAGCTTAGCTTATATGGTTACCATTTGTTTGGGTTCAGTTCGGGGGTGGGAAACATATTGAAGGAAATAAAGATATCAAAATTGGAGACTGATATCAGCATTCCACAATTAAGGATACATCAATCTCCAATTTTGACATATTTATTTCCTTCACTGTGTCCCCCCCCCCCGAATTGAACCCAAACAAATGATAACCATATAAACTAAGCTTATTATTCCTGTTTGATCCTTGAATCTGTTAAACGTCTTCATTGTACTTCATGATAATTTCCATTTCATTGTATCTGGAGAAGCGTGTGTGCACAATAAAGCTTATACTTAGAATAAAACTTTGTTGGTCTTAAAGGTGCCACTGAACTCAAACCTCTAGTAAGGATCAATGCATGAGATGTCAGAATGTGCAGCAAAAAGATGGGGAAGCAGAACACGAGACATCCCTAAAGCCCAGGCAGGGCAGGCTAGGGGCTCTACCCATGCATTCTTTCTTCTGTAGCTGAAAATGGCAGGGCCTCCTTGCCTCCCAACTGAAGGGGCAGGAGAGTAAGATTCTTCTTCATTATATATGTACCAGATGCTAAGACAGGAGCACTCTTGTGTCTCATTTGTTATCAACTTGACCCCCCTTTTAGTTTTTGTGATAAGGTTATGCTGTTCTTTAAACACAGGAATACACATCTCAGGTTGTGGGGGTCAGCGTGGCTCTGTTGAAATCAGTATTGGGGGGAGTTGGAAAAACCACTGCTAGGAGTCTGTTTTCTATCTTAATTTTTGTGGTTCTACAATAATTGTGTCATCATCATTATTAAATAATGTATTATTGTAATTAGAAAACTTTTTTATTTTTCAGCTGTTCAAGGATCAGGTGTCATTTTTAGAACTGTAGAGGTTACTTTACATAAAGAAGGGAACACTTTTGGCTTTGTAATAAGAGGTAAGTTCTCCGCAACACTGTCTTTCTGAAAGTTTTTGAGCTGGCATGTCTCCTTCTAAACTATTTTACCTTTCACTCCCTTCAACCCAATATAAACTACCTGTTTAACAAATACCAACTCAGTGCGAGTCACATTCTCATAACATAACTTACCTTATGAAGTTGTTGTGAGAATTAGGGCCAAGCCAGACAGTCTTCTGAACTCCCAGGATATTTTTTAAAAAATTGTCAGATAATGTTCTTGTAAGTTTAGCCCAATGGAGCAATAGGCAACTCCCTGATGCAATTTCAGGTCAGAAAAACAGGCAGAGGAGAAAGGCTTAAACTATCACTTCCTGAATGCTGCAGTCCTGGTTCAAATTGGGCTGCTGAGCACCTGAAAATTAAGTTTTAAGCATCACTGGGCATTCCAAAGTGGGAAACTCCCAATGCACATCTAGTTTGGCCCTTTAAATATTTGGATTAAGACCAGACAAACATGCATGTTTCAGTAGTTAATTATTTATGCATCATAACTTCCATGTGATCTGATCTTCCCAGGCTTTTTTAAAGCTTAGTTGCAGCCATATATGGCCCCAATCCAGACTGGGGCTATATGGGGACAGAAAGAAGGTCCTTAACCCCTTTGTCCCCATGTAGTTCTGTAAATCAAAACCAAGTTCCCCCATTGCTATAGCAGTTTAAAGAAAGAAGGGCCAAAGACATGTTCCTGTATTTTTTTCCTTTAATGGGCTAATAACAGCATGGGAAATATGGGTTTTAATTAGTGAAATGGTTCAGTCCCCCCACACACACACATATGGTCCCGTATGAATCAAACCGTGCACAGCTGGAACTGAGCTTAAACTGGAGATCTGCAATCAACAACACAAATACGCTAACCGTAACTTCTGTCGTACTACTTTTGGTGGGCCTTGTTGGATAGTTAACTCTCAATGCACTGTAGCAGTCATTTGAAGAAGAGTTGGGTTTTATACCCTGCTTTTCTCTACCCGGAGGAGTCTCAAAGCAGCTTACAATAGCTTTCCCTTCCCCTTCCGACAGCAGTCACCTTTTGTGGTAGGTGAGGCTGAGGGAGTTCTGAGTGAACTGTGACTGGCTCAAGGTCACCCAGCAGGCTTCATGTGGAGGAGAGGGGAATCAAACCCAGTTCTCCAGATTAGAGTCCACTGCTCTTAACCACTGCACCATGATGGCTCTCTACTGGATTTTCCCGTGTAAAATAGGAAAATTCAGTAGCAAACAATTGCTATAGTGCATTGAAAGTGCATTATCTAATACTTGTGAAAGCAGTGTTAGTTAAATTAGTTCACAATCCACATAAGCTAGTACTTTGGTGGGTACTTCATTTGGATTGTGCCTAACAAAGTACTAACTATTTGGATCATGAACTAATTTAACAATGTACCACCAAAGCAACAGCCCAGGGTTATTTCAGTGACTTAATATTTTGATGTTTTATTGGGGAAGAGAAATAGAGATATAGCAAGTGCATGCTGCAGCCTTTTTAAGATAGTTAGTTTGGAAATGGGTTTTTATACAAGAAGTGGTAAGAAGGTGCCTATTTCATTCTCTTTCCTAGGTGGAGCACATGATGACAGAAATAAATCTCGTCCTGTTGTAATAACATGTGTTAGACCTGGAGGGCCTGCTGACAGGTACAATTCATCTTCACACAGAGAGAGACACAAGCACAAAAGAGAAGAAGAGATACAAAAAGCAGTGGGATAAATTATATGGGGGAGGTGTGAGTTAGGAGACACACATCTGCAGATCACAATAGACATGTTCAATTCTAGTCCTTTGTCTTTTGCAAATTATTCATTTAATTGTAACAGTAATAGCAGGCATGGCAGAAGACTCCACAGTATGAATTTTAATTGAGAGACCAAACTTGTTAAGTAGGATTTCATGTCTTTACCCCCAAAAAATGCTTCAAGAGGAATATAGAGTACCTTGCAATATGCAAGGTTAGTTTCTAATCTTGTAAAGTCATGTGGTTTAATTTCAAGATGCCTTTCTCTCACATTTCAAGGAGATTTTTTTTCCTTTTCATTCTTAAAGAAATGTTGTCTATTGGTTTCCTTCTCTCTTTCTTGGTAAATAATTAGATAAATTTTAACTTCCAGATAGATTTTATTGAAAAACACACTGTTTTTTAATGTGTACATCACAGTGCACAAGGTGCTGTGGATCAGGGTAAGCATTACAAAATATAAGTAGAGCCAGATATGTCTGTTACTTGTACTGTCTGTCTCTGAATCCTAAGATACAAAATGAAGTCTTCTACATCTGTACAGGATACAAAGGGTGGGTGGGTGTGTGTGTGCGCGTGTGTGTGTGTGAATGACAGGAAATCAGTAAGCACCAATAAAGGAAGAGCTACAGGAGGTGAGGCTATAAGGCAGAGTCTGGGTTGTTGCCCTGCCTCCACTCTCTCACTGCTTACTGCAATGGGGGCCTTGAAAGATGTACATTTACCTGCAGAGACCCATTTGCTTGAGCCTGTTTGTAAAGTCACTTTCATATGGTCTGAATTAGATGTCAGGGTAAGTTTAGATTTATTGCCAGAGGTATCAGAACTGTGCACTTGTCCCGGTTTTTGAATAATTTTAGATTGCTCTTCCTGACTAGTGTGGACAGGGTACCATATAAAGCTTGATTTTCCTGGCTCATAAAGTCTTGCCTCGCTTTGAGTTTCACTGGTCAAGATTATTAACACTTTCTTGGTTGAGGAAGATTTCCCCAAAGTTTTGAAAGAGACAGTGGTAAAGCCATTGCTAAAGGAGCCATCCATAGCTAAATGTCTGTCCTCTTCCTGACTGTATGATTTCGGGGCAAGATAAAAGGAGTATGGTGGCAAGGCAACTTCAGGCACATGTGAATGCCACTTCTTCTTTTCAGCCATTTCAGTTGGGCTTCACACCTGCTTATAGCAGTGAGTCAGCTTTAGGCGTACACTGTATGATTTATATCTTCATGTTGATCAGCAGCCTGTGATGCACTTGACAATTCAGTTGTTCTACACTGTTCAGAGTCTGGGATAGGAATTTCAGGCACAACTCTGTATTGGAGGGGGAGGGGAAGCGGTGAACATGAGAGGAAATTGGGAGGAAATGGGGCCCTATTTAGCAGGAGAGGTGCAGAAATCTACACCTTCTAGGGTTGCTAAATCCAGTTTGATAAATTCCTGGAGATTTGGGGGTGCAGACTGGGGAGGGTGGAGTTTGGGGGAGGGAGCTCAGCAGCAGTGTGATGGCCTAGGGTCCACCCTCCAAAACGGCCATTTTCTCCAGCGGATCTGATCTCTGTAGTCTAGAGATCAGTTATGATTCAACTCCAGACCTCATCTGAAAACTGGCAGCTCTAACACCTTCCCTTCCATACAGATCCAGAAAGATCTTACCAGAGCAGCATTGGGGGGGGGGGAAAGGCAGGAAAACTAGGAGAAACCAGGAATGTGGAAGACTGCATGGTGATGTTGCACTGCAAAGCCCTCTTATACCCACTGCAGTTTGGGTGGGGACGCAGAGCAAAACCTTCGTTTGGCAGCCACCTTAAGGGCTCTTCAAAGTCTCAGGGGGAGCCCCTTTCTCAGGCCTGCTCTCCTGGATCATTTTTAACTAAAGATGACAAGGACTGGACACAGAGTTTAGTGTATGCAAAATACATGCTCTTGTCACTGAACTATTCAGGCTGCATGGACTGGTATATAATGGTCAGATCTCAGCAAGTGAGTGTATACAGTTCTCATATTGAATATTTTGATAGTTTAAGTATGTTTATGCTTGTGGTATTATATCTTTCCCTTATCTCAAAATACTTCCCATGGGCTTTCAGGATTATTGCAGAGTTCATACTGACATATGCCCTTGTATGTTTGAGAAAACCATGGACATAAGTGGGGAAAAACGTTATGTTGTAATTAAAATAATACATAACAATGATTCACATTACTTAGCAACTCCACTGCTATTGTCTCATCACTGATTTTCTGATTAAAGCAATTCCCTGACCCCTGAACTATCTTGCTGTTACAGTAAATGTTAGAAGAAAGGGAGTCAGGCTGGATGGCAAGAAAGGGCATAAGTGAATCACTTTGCATGTGGCTTTAATCTCCAGATCACATTATATAAAAATTAATAATGACTGTGCTTCTGATCTTCTTTCAGAGAGGGAACAATCAAGCCGGGTGACAGGTTGCTTAGTGTTGATGGGATTCGGCTTGTTGGAACATCACACAGTGAAGCCATGAGTATTCTCAAGCAATGTGGGCAGGAAGCGACTCTGCTGATAGAATACGATGTCTCCATAATGGGTATGTTGAATTGCTGAGCTTTCGTTCTGGGAGCCATCTGTGACATTTTACTGTCCATCCTTTAGAGGCTACTTGAACAATGATTATGACCCGTTATGCCTCCAGTAGCACAGATATTCCCATCAGCAGCATCTCATTAATCTTTCTAGGTTCGTGGAGAGGTGAGCAGTATTTTATTGTAATTTAGAGTCTGGCTGTTTCATGGTTTGTAGACTGAAAGCATGCCACAGCTCCTATCAAGGCAGGAACTTTCTTCAGTGATTCAAGGGAGGTTCATTTATACAAAGTCGATAATGGTGTATAGGTTTTTCTCTGAAATCAGTAAAAAAAATGCTTACGTGGTACAACATGAACCTTGATGTCTGTTTACCAAATAGATAGTGACAGCAGCAGCAGAAACTGTGTAACAGGCATAAATCCTGGAATTCCTGTGTGAGGCAGCAAAAAGAAAGAAAGATTCTAGCTATATAGGAATTTGTATAGAAAATTGTATGGAAAATTGTCATTGTTCTGGAACAGGGAAGGTAATAGTGGTTGGAACCAAAGCAAGCCACAGTCTGTTTTCTTAATAAGGTTTCTTTCTCCCTTCTTGCTACAAAAGCTCTTCCTGAAGTTTGGAGAACCTGATGGAACTCCATGGGATGTGATGCAGGGGACTGCACCTGGAAGGTGAATCAAAAGAAATTGGAAGGAATCTTCCACATGGGGAAGAAGACCTTTGAATCCAAGCCATTGTCTCAAGAGGGGTTCCCCCTCTCTCCCAATAATCTATTTAAATGCAAAAAGAGAGATACTTTGCCTACACACTTTAGAAGATTTAGAGAAGGTTAAATATCTTTCTGAGTTCATAAGAAATAAATAACAAAGCAACGATATCTGTCTTCAAAAGGAATAGTATGAAAATCTCATCCTTAATTTAGTAGCCTATGGAGGTTGTATAAAACGGCATGGCTTTATAGCTTTTTCATTTTTCATGGCAGGCCTTACACAAGGCCATTGACTGGGACATTAACTGCATTTTTTTATCAATAAGGGATTTAAAAGTCTCTTCAGGAGGAGGAAAAATATAAGGCAAATCAATTGGCTTTGCGAGATAATACCCATGGGACCCTTTTCCCTTCAATATCCTGTCTTGGAATGTAGCTGTTACTACATAACATGGTATAGACAGGGAAACTTTTCCCAAATGGAAAATAGCTGCATAAGCCTCCAAAAATTCCTTAAATTTTCATACTTAAAATATTGAACTGTAGCTAGGCAAATAGGTTTCAGATTACAAATGCTGAACTGTAGGTAGCGAAGTGGATTTTATAATGATGGATTGTCAGGGAGTGGATGGCTTATATTTCAGAAAATATAGAACTCAGATTTCACCTTAACAGAGAAATAGATTTTATGAAATTGAAATTTGCAAGTTTAGATCTGAATATGCCATGACTTTCTGCAATCCGAGGGAAAGAATCAAAGATTAAATAAATGATGCCGTGGATTCTACTGGCTTTGCATTCACATACGTGAAGGGTAGTCTTGCTTGATATCAGGTTGAAATACCAGGCATGCTTATTAAATAGGAAGTCTTGCAGAACTCAGTGGGATCTGTTTATAGGTAAATAGGTTTAGGATTGTATTGTAAATATCTTCTGTGTGGTATTTGTTAGGACAGTGCCAATAAACTTCCTCAAATAATAAGATATTGACATATTATTAATTTTATTTATTCATTTATTTGTTAAAGGATTTTAATCGTACCTCACAACCTAGGTTTTTGAGGTGGCTCCCAAATAAAATATTTAAAATCAAGATTCAATAAATAAAATGCATAATAAAATAAAACTGCTAATAAGTCGAACAAAACAACATGCAGTGGTCAATGGGAGCCAGCTCACAGCTGGGTTGTCAGTTGTAGGCAGAAGCTGGTGATGCATCAGAAAACTGGTATAAAAACAATCCTTAGGAAAAGGAGCGGGTGTACATATCTACTGACTACCACCACCAAGAGACAGCACTGCGTTTTAGGGAAGGATTTCAATTCAGATGTGGGAATGAGCACAGAGAAAAAAATATTAGAATAACATATGCCCCTTGTTTGCAGTATAATTTGGGAGATCTTTGATCTCTACCTGCTGGGCAGAACCATCCCTGCTCCCAACAACAACAATAACAATGGTGCAGTGTGGTGTCTGGGTCCAGTTGTGGTTGGTAGTACACACTGCATACTAGATTTCTTAGAGGGCTACTGATGATACAACTAAGGCCCACAGAATAGAAGAGGACATTATTTCTTTATTTATCATATGACAGAGTTACACACAGGAAACATAATATAAAATATGTAACCAAGCTGTTACAATGTATGCAGACCAAATGGGTAATCCCCCTAAATACTAATATCTAAATTTTCAATCCACTCAATCGCAGCTGGGGAGAGTTCAAAGAGCTCCATCACATCTCCCTGAAAAGCACAATGTTCACATTCCTGTGACAGATGGAAAATAGTTTAGTGGGCAGGACTGCAGTCGCATTTGGGTCCTAGTATTTTGCCCTATTTGAACAACAGGTCTGAACAACTGCCAAAGCCTGCTCGTATTCTGTTAGCTATCTTCCATACTTTATGTGGCAAATCAAATCTTGCAGGCCTCTCGTTGGTGTTTATCAGGTTATCATTTTTGTGATTGCAGGATTTGTGCTGATCTTATTGCTGGGTATTGGGATGTTAGTCTGGATATGCCCACGTCAGCCATGTCTTTGTGGATGTGCAACTCTCTGTTTTCAATGATCTTCCTATATTCATGAAGAAGAGCATCTTATCTTTGGATATGCAGGGGAGCAATATGGCACAACGTAGGTAGCCAATAGGTCAGAGTGGGTTTAATACATCCACTGATGGTTCTCATTGTTGTATTGAGGTGGTTTTGTACTGGAAGTAGTGTGGTGTTTCATACCTATGCCAGCATGACTATCCCCACCCCTAGGATCTCCCAGTTGGGCCTGCAGGATTTTCCTAGTAGATTGCTGGGTCAAAGAAATGGTGCCAGGGAGAACGTTTCCCCTTTTCCTCACTCCATTTTCCCAGTTTAAGTTCCTCTACTGTTTGTCCTAATGAAAAAATCCCACAAATGTGTCATAGAAGTAGCATGTATAAGTTCCCCCATAGAGCTAACTCAGCTTTAGGGTTGTTGTGTATGTAATGTAAAGTAATGAATGCATGAGCTTGAGTCTAGAAAGGTATTGTAAACCGACCTATCAGAACACTGGGAGTTCTGGAGGGAAGCAAAGTGATTGGTCTTTATGCACTGTATTTGATTGGACCTTATCTGACTTGTGGGCGTGGCTTGCCAAGCCCGGACTGTTTAAAAAGGAGCCTGTTGCTCCATAGTTTGTCTCGTTCTGGTTCTTCTGACTTCGTGTTCAAATAAAGCTGTTATCACTGTTCACCTGCTGCCTGACTCTTGTATCCAACAATTGGCGATGAGGATGGGATTATAGAGCGGGTAGGCAGCCCCGCTGAACCAATGCCAGGACGGTGGACAACCGAGAAGCCCCTGTTGAACCCTGGGCGGAAGAACGAGACCCGGCTGATCAAGGAGTTGCAGCACCTGTGCCAGTGCCGGCACAAAGAGCAGTGATGGCTGTCAACCCACGGTTCGAGGTATTTGAGTCCGACCTCGAGGACTAGGATTCCTACCTGACCAGGTTCGAATTCCACCTCCAGGCCAACCAGATCGAGGGTGAGGACCATCAGAAGGCGACATTCCTCAGCTCCTGCGGAAGGGCTGTCTTTGACGTCGCCCGGTCCCTGGTCGCCCTGGCTGAAATAAAAACCGTGTCCCTGGCTGAGCTCAAACTGAAACTGCAGGGGCATTTCGCACTGCAACCCTCACAGATCACTAGCCGACATGCATTCTACAAGCGATCCCAGGCCACAAACGAGATGGTTGCTGAGTACGTATTGGCTTTGCGGAAGGCTGCATGCCCGTGCAACTTCACCAACCTCAAGGAAGCGCTCCTCAACCAACTCGTCTGTGGCATGAGGGATGAGAAGCTACAGCAACGCCTGTTCGCAAGAACGGCTCTCACCTATGCTGTGGCCTACTCCGAGGCTGTTGCCGCTGAGGCCACTGAGAAACCAACCCAAGAAGTGCGTCAAAACCTGGTCCCAATCCAACAGGGGGCCAACAAAGCCGTACACCACAAATCAACGAGCGAGTCCGATGGTGAGCAGGATGACATCAACCAGTCTTGTACTCTGAGGTCCAAGTGGACCCAAGTGAAAACTGTGCCGCAGCAAACCTGTGCCAGATGTGGCGGTAATCACGAGCGGAATTGATGCTGGGCAAAGGACATCGTTTGCTGGTCCTGTGACAAGCGAGGCCATTCGGCCAGAGTCTGCAGAGCCAAGAGGAAGAAGACACAACCTTTGTCTCCTCGTGAAAGGCCCTGGGTTCGAGGCAAGGACAAAGCGAGGTCTACAGATTGTCATCTGACCAACTGCTGTTCCTGGTCTTCGACCATCCTGAAGACCAGATCGCGAGCAAAGAAGAAGATCCATGTCACCGTCTTGCTGAATAGCGTACCGTGCGAGATGGAGGTCGACTAGGGTTCGTCAGTGACCGTCATCTTGTCTGAAGCCTTACAACATTTGTTTCCACAATGGAGCCATCGGCATTTGCAGCCGAGCACCATCCACCGTTCCGATTTTCAGGAAAGGCGCATCTCTGCGGCCGGCGAAGCCACATTTGAGGTACAATTAAAAGGGTTCAAAGAGTCTCTGAGTCTCCTTGTTGCCGAGGGATGCCGGGCCAGTCTGTTGGGCTTAGACTGGTTTGAGGCTCTCGGAATTGCAATAAGTGGTATTAACAAAGTCAATGCAAATAAATTGAATTCACTGTATGTGGAATTTGCAGATGTGTTTGATGGTACTCTGGGAATGTATAGGGGGTCACCTGTAACGTTTGACCTAGATCCGTCTGTAGCACCTATACGGCTTAAATATCTCAAGG